TGTATTTGCTGGTTCTCCAAACTACTCAAAATTTCCGCTACCGGTTCCACAGAATTTGTCAAAACCTGCTGAATACCACCTCTGCCCCAAATCCCACTCCCGGCTGGCCCCACCCACCCGTCCCCTCCCAGGAGCCCCCACATGGCCCATTTTGGACGCAGGTAAGTGCACAGCACGCACAGAAGCTTGGGGAAAGTGAAAAACAGGCCTCCTGGAAGTTCTGGAAGACTGAAAATGGGCCTGTTTCCAGCTTCCAGAGAGCCTCCGGAGCCTGAGGAGGCCATTTTCATTCTCCTGGAGGCTCGACGAAAGCCTCTGGAGCCCAGGGAGGGCGCAAACACCCCCCTGCCATGGTGCAGGAGGCTGACTAGGCCACGCCCACCATGGCCACACCCACCCAGCAACCAGGCAGAGAACCCCTTGCTAAAATTTTTGAAGCCCACCCCTGAACAGAATGAACGATGTGCCAAAATGAAATAACACTTCCAGGCAGCCATTTTGTCTTCCACCTTCTCCCCAACTAGACTGAAGCTTGTCCATTCAAAGCAGGAAGAGGTATACATTTAACATTAAGCCTATTGGTTGGTCAACTTCTCTGTTTCTGATCACCGCCAAAGGAAACAACTCACCGACATAAAGCTGGACTTTTGCTCGGGGGCCAGCAAGCAAACCCAATGAATCTGTTCCCGGTAATCCAGTTTCACCAAGTCGAAAGCAATGGCTTCCGGGATAGCCAGGATGATGGCTACAGCCCAAATGAAAGTCACTTCCACCGCCTTCCACAATGGGATTCCAATGCCCTGAATCCGGCTCCAGGAAGCCACTGCTCGGTATCTAGAGGAGAAAGGAAGGAGATGCTATTTGCCAGAGGAAAAAGGTGTTTCAGTAAAAACGGGAAATGCTCCGAAGAGTTTATTACCGGTCTATGCTGAGAGCACAAAGGCTGAGGACAGTGATGCCAACGGAGGCCTTCTGTATGAACGGCACCAGTTTGCAGATCTGCACCCCGAACGGCCAATCTTCTGCGAGAAGCTGGGAAGAAAAACAAAGGAAAGAAACTCAGCATTATTTCTCCATAATGAGCCATGGTGGCGCAGTGGTTAGAGTGCAGTACTGCAGGCTGCCTGCAATTTGGCAGTTCGAATCTCACCACGCTCAAGGTTGACTCAGCCTTCCATCCTTCTGAGGTGGGTAAAATGAGGACCCAGATTGTTGGGGGCAATAGGCTGACTCTGTAAACTGCTTAGACAGGACTGTAAAAGCACTGTGAAGCGGTATATAAGTCTAAGTCTATTGCTATAGTTAACTCTGCCAGCAGTTTGATCCTGACCGGCTCAAGGTTGACTCAGCCTTCCCTCCTTCCAAGGTGGGTAAAATGAGGACCCAGATTGTTGGGGGCAATAGGCTGACTATAAAAGCACTGCAAAGCAGTATATAAGTGCTATGGCTATTTTTTTCCTTCCTTCCTTCCTTCCTTCCTTCCTTCCTTCCTTCCTTCCTTCCTTCCATCCATCCATCCATCCATCCATCCATCCATCCATCCAAACCAACCCAAGTCGACTCAGCCTTCCATTCTGGCTGGCCCTGCCCACCCCACCCCTCCCAGGAGTCCCCAGGTGCCCTCTTTTGGATGCAGGTAAATGCAGGGTGTGCACGGAGGCTCAGGGAGGGTGAAAAACAGGCTTCCCGGAAGTTCAGGAAGGCCGGAAGTGGGCCTGTTTCCGGCTTCCAGAGAGCCTCCGGAGCCCGGGGAAGGCAAAAACACCTCAGGAGGCCGACTAGGCCATGCCCACCCAGCAACCAGGCAGAGAACCCCTTGCTAAAAATTTTGAAGCCCACCCCTGCACCTGACCCATGTCTTTAAAAATCCTAACAGCATGAAAAGTGGGAAGTTAACGTCAAAACTGCCAGGTGTCCCTGAAAACAGGATTAAGAAGGCTACTCTTTATTGTAATTCAGGAATGGCTGACAAGTCAGTTGAGAGTCACTGGGGCACGGCTTGTCCACCCTCTCCAGATTTAGTTAGTTCTTTCCCTGCAGATTCCTGCATGTGATCAAACACGAGCCTTTCCTTTCTCATGATTGCTCATGAATGGCAGTTGCATGTTTACATACGCTGCATTTCTGGATAATTTCCTGACCTGAACAGAAGCCAGGGGAAAAAAAAACTAAAATGTTAACAAGCCTGAGCGAATCAATCTACATTTTATCCCCCTGCAGTAAAAAGGCTTGTTTCAATGGCAGGAACATAAATACGTTGTATAGCCAAAAAGGCATTAAGAGTTGTTAACCTAATCCTACGTAGCTTTTTCTCTGGTAATATCACACTACTAACTAGGGCATACAAAACATTCGCTAGACCAATACTCGAATACAGCCCATCAGTCTGGAACCCACATTACGTATCTAATATTAGCACAATTGAGAAAGTCCAGAAATATTTCACAAGAAGAGTTCTCCACTCCTCTACTCATTGTAGAATACCTTATGCCACCAGACTTGAAATTCTAGAACTAGAAAACGAATTATGCCGTCTTCGGTCTGATTTAAGCATGGTATATAAAATCATACATTGCAATGTCCTACCTGTCAATGAATACTTCAGCTTCAACCATAGCAACACAAGAGCAAACAATAGATATAAACTCAAGATTAACCGCACCAAACTTGATTGCAGGAAATATGACTTCAGCAACAGAGTGGTCAATGTCTGGAATACTCTACCCGACTCTGTGGTTTCTTCCCCAAACCCCAAAAACTTTAACCTTAGACTGTCTACTATTGACCTCACCCCTTTCCTAAGAGGTCTCTGTAGGGGCCGTGCATAAGCGCAACAACGTGCCTACCGTCCCTGTCCTATTGTTTCTTTTATTTTTCTTATATGTACCCATTTCATGTATTCATAACTATGTATACACTTATACTTATTATCTTGTAAACAATTGACAAATAAAATAAAATAAAATAAAATAAAATAAAATAAAATAAAATAAAATAAAATAAAATAAAATAAATAAATAAATAAATAAATAAGTCTCCAATGACCCCATAAGAATGTGAGATGGGATGGGCAAAATTTGCAATCCTATCAGTAGTTTTGACCAATGCCCTGTAAGAATTGTGCAGTACACCACTGTGAACACTGTGTAACTAGGTTGAAATGGCAGCTAGTATTCTAGTAAAATCAGTTAAGTTTCTTTCAAGCCTTAGTTAATGTATTTATTTTTATCCTGCCTTTATTGTTTATATACTGTAAGTAACTCAAGGTGGTAAACAAAGCTAATAGACATTATTCCTCCTTTTTACCCCACCACAATGACCTGTTGAGGTGGGTTGAGATTTGGGAGAGAAGAATTGGCCCAAGGTTACCTAGCTGCAGGGGTTCGCAGGGGTTCGGGAGAGCCCCTAGCTAAGATTCTGTGCAGTTTGGAGAACCCCCAAATCCCACTCCTGGCTGGCCCCGCCCACCCAGCCCCACCCCTCCCAGAAGTCCCCAAGCCACCTGTTCTGGATGCAGGTAAGTACAGGGGGCGCGTGGAGGGTTGGGGAGGGCGAAAAACAGGCCTCCCGGAAGTTCAGAAGACCGGAAATGGGCCCGTTTCCAGTCTCCAGCGGGCTTGTTACTAGAGAGAAATGACTAGTATTCAAGGCAGATATTAAAATCTGCAGGGACTCCTTTACCATTACCTACTCAAATATCTCTCAAGGAATACTTGCCTTGAGACATATCTAAAGCCCCCTAACCTAGTAACAATCCCCCCCAAATTGTGAAGATTATTCAGGAAGCATTAATGGCAATTGGGGTGTCTTGCAGATTGGAGTTTTAATGGATGTTTCTTTTTTTTTTCTTTTTTTTTTGCACTGTGTGAGATTGGATGGTAGTTCTTTGCTTAAACTGATTTTTTTTTTTAAATAATTGTAGACTGCCCGGAGTCTGAAATCATGTGATATACAAATTGATGTATAAATAAATGAGTCATTGAGGTTTCTCTGAGAATTATTTGTAATACATGGAATGCTTCCAAATAAAGCTTATGATAAGGCGAATGAGGAATGAGAAAAGAATGCCAGATTTAGTCAGTGTAAAACAAGATTTATGAAAACTCAATAAGTGTTTGTTTCTTTCTAAAAAAAAAAAAAAACTCCATGTAAATCACGTTAAGAAATGTTTGCTGCAGGAAATCATTAAAATTAATCATTAAAATGCTGCTTTCTTTTAGATTTAACTGAAAATATGTGTTTTGGTTGATTTTTTTTTTACTTGCTTTTCTGAAGAAACAACTGGAATAATTCAAGCAAAGAGAGAGAAAAATATTGTTGTCATTATCTATTGAGTAATGAAAAAGATTTTTCCTCTTTGTTTTATGTTTTGAACACTTTGTTCCAATTTCAGAACTGCTGTTTTTCCACACTAAACGTTACAATCTTGTGGTTTGCTGGTGTCATGAAAGATGAATTACAAGGATTATCCCAATTTTAAAATCTCGATGATCATCTAACTCTACTTCAACGGCCAGAATATGTAAGGTAGACCATGAGGGGCTCACTTATAATTTTGGGAATACATACGCTGATCTCTCTATTTGTCATCTTTATCATTTTTATTTTATTATATAAAATACAAAAAAAAATAGGAAATTACAGGAGGGAAAGGCAGCGGGGAAAAGGGGGTTGTGAGATACAAGGAGGAAGAGAAAAAAGAAAGAAAAGGGGACACTGAATTCCAATTCTTCCTAGCATGGTACAAGATAAATACACTTCAACCTCAACTTTTTGCTTTTACACATTAATATATAACTAGCCATTTCTATAACACCAAATCTTTCTAATCAACAAAAACAAGACCAAAGTTTCATTTTATTTCTTCACAAGCCCAAATTCCAGAAGTGATATCCAAATAAGAACATACTTTCCTCTTTAAATAAAGTAACCAATTTAACCATTCTTGCTTTATCTTCCTTGCTGTGGAATTAAGTAACCTATTAACCCTTGTGAACTGTCACCATTTTTATTTACAAAATGCACTGTATTCTTTCAAACTCTTTGGCCAATCTCTTTATTTGTGATCAGTATGCAGCAATATTTCTTACAGATGGAATATTGACAGGGTCCCAAATATTAGAAAACAATATCCAATAATTGCATGTTTTTCCTAATATTTTTTCCACAAGGACAGGCTACCTTTCCACCCCCAATCAGTCAAGTGTTGATCCATTGGCTTGTCACATGAATCTGACATGGTGGACTGAGAGAGTGACTAGTCCAGAGTTTTCATGACTAATATGGAACTAGAACTCACAGTCTCCCAATGATTGGCTCAAAATCACACAGCTTGCTTTCATGCCTAATGTGGAAGAGGAACTCACAGTCTCCTGGATTCTAGCCATGTGGCTTAACAACTAGACCAAACTGCTTCTCATCCAGAAATTTCCTGACAGCTAGGACAATTAATCGGTGGAACGACTTGCTTCTATTAGATGTGGGTGTTCCAACCCTAGAGGTTTTTAAGAAGACATAGGACAACCTTTCATTTGAAATGGTATAGGGCAGGCATCCCCAACCTGTGGGATGCCCCCACACTAGTGGGCCATGAGGGGTTTGCAACTCGGCTGTGCAAATGGCCGGGGAGCGCACAAGTGCATCTTCCCTTGCACAAGCAGAGGGCGAGTATGTGTGTGCATTCTCCATTTGCGTGAGTGGCAGATGTGTGTGCATGGCACTCATGGAAATGGAGCTGTGCATTTGTGCGTGCTTGCCAGCCGCTTGCATTAACTTATCCCCTCCCTGCTGGTCTACAAATAGCAATAGCACTTAGACTTATATACTGCTTTGCAGTGCTTTATAGCCCTCTCTAAGAGGTTTACAGAGTCAGCCTATTGACCCCAACAATCTGCGTCCTCATTTTACCCACCTCGGAAGGATCCAAGGCTGAGTTGACCTTGAGCCAGTCAGGATCAAATTGCTGGCAGTCGGCAGAATTAGCCTGTAATACTATATTCTAACCACTGGGAGGGAGGGAGGGAGGGATGGAG